GTATAGAATTGTTTTATCGAGTTAATCAGCTATTAATTATATTTGTTTGATCATTATTCATACAATTCCAGCAAAATATTTAGTGTGTCTGATTGAATTGGTCATATATATTTTCAGGCAATTCATATTTAACAGAAGACAAGTATTGTTCGTATTGCAACAAGCTATTTACAAATACCAGAAATTACAAGACACATATGATGAAACATACACCGGAGAGGAAGACATATCGATGCCCCATTTGCCCTCAAGTGTTTTATTGGCCGAGTAATCTAGTTAGACATAGATTATCACAACACGGATATCGTGCAAGAAAAAAATGTGATAAACAGCAGACAAATAGTTGGAATATAGACAAATATTACCGATGTTGAATGACGTGAACATTCCAAAATTGTACAGATATATCGAATAAATGGCAATTTTTGAAATATTTTTATTTCTGTCTTTTCGTTGTGAATAAATTAATATTGGTTTTTTTTTATTATTATTTAATACGAATCAAATATTGATAAATTTTTAACTTGTTTTTATTAAAAAATTCAAATTTTTATTATTTGAGGCTACTACGTCAAGAATAAATATTCTATTTTGAAAAGCTTCTTCGAAAATGTTTGGATATTTTTCAACAGTATGGACAAATTTTTAATAATAAATANTTCTTTACTTAAGCCCAGGAAAATTACTTTTCATGTGAAGTGCACGAACGAAAATAAAACGAAATTTATTATATTATTCTAATTCTTGTAACTTTCATTTTAATTATACTTAGGAGTTCAAATACAATTGAATTGCTACAGATTAGAAGAACATTTTTAACGATTTTTTTACATAGAATAAAAGCTTTTAGAAACATGATAAATATCATTTCTTTTTATCCTTAATTGTATCTTACAACAGGAATGATTAAACTTAATATTTATATAGTTAGGTTTAATTTTATAGATAAATTATATGACTATTTTACTGTTATTTTTTTCTGTTTTTGTGTGGCTAAATGTGTTCGATATGACAGAATACAGCATTTCTTATGTTTTTCAATTTCTAGTTTTGCTTATATGTGTATCTATAGCAAGGTCTGTTTCATATATTTCTTGTTGATTAGCTTTTTCATAAAGAATTTTAAATGCTAAGATAAAACCTTTCTAGTGGTTGAATCTAAGTAGAATTCTTCCATTAAAAATGTCGTTTAACATTTATTCACTTTGCGAAACCTTAGCCATTATCATCAATCTTAGATCGTCGCACTGTACACCGTCGAAATGACTCAACTGACAAATTTCAATTGTATATTTTGGATAAAAATTGGTCGAATAAATTCTGTAAAATTTGAAATTTTATAGAATTTATCAAATTAACTTAATCATTTTTCAAAATAATTACACTAACCACTATATGTTATAGTTTTAAAATATTAATTTAATAAAAATTCGTAAAAAAAATAAACTAGAAATTACATTAATTTCATACTTAGTCTTATAATAAGGAATATTCTGTATTTACGTCTTTGACAGATTTTAAATAGTTACATACAGCGAAAATTTTATTTGTAAATAACATTTCCATCAGCACAATCGGTTTTCTGTAATAGAAGTAACATCTTAAATATAATTTGTAAGCGTATATTATCAATATAGTAATATATTTTCAAAGTCTCTTTTAGATATAACCGATATAAAAGTCCATATTTAATAAATGCTATGATAAATAAACATATAGTTATTTTTCCTGAATCACTTTTGAAATGTTTGCAATCTTATTCAGCAAATTTTTGGTATTTAAAATAAATATAAAAATAATTTTGAATATAGAAATGCAGATAGTTTAAAAACATATGAAATTATTTCAAATGATTTATCTCATTTAAAAAGATGTTAGAATCAATATTTAAAAAAGAACCACGGTTTTTACTATCAATAATTAAATACTATTTTATGAGATATTGGAGGAGTTACAAAACACATAAAATATTTCTAAAAATTAGTTAATAAGTAAAAATCAATAATAATTAAAAAGTGATTTAAAACAAAACAAATTTTATGAAATCTTAAAAAGTCTTATTTAAAAATTTATAACAATATGATCGTTTGATAAAATTATGCTTTTGAAATTTGAAGGATTGGTTTTTTAGTTTCGTTAGAAAATATTAAAATGTTCATTTAAAAAATGCATTATCTTTCAATTTATCTGATACTTAACAAGAAATGAATGGCCTAATTAAGCATTTCTATATCACTCGTGATTTTTTATTCTATTATACATTTAATAACTTTTAAAAATTAATTGCTTATTATTTTTTAACTTTCTGTTTCTTTCAAAAAATTAATAATTTTATATTCATTTGTTAAATTTGTTTTAAATAAAATCATAATTAGTAGGTTAAAATCATTTGAAAAGTATATTCAGATATTTTATTAAGAAAAACTAAATGGATTTTCGTTTTTTTTAACATACATTAATTAGAAATTTTTTTTTTGAAAAATTCTACTTAGATTATTAAGGTTTAAATTATAATAGTAGTCAACTAATTTCAAGATTTATATAATTGTAATTTTACGTTTAATGTGATTATTAACGAATTTGCATAAGATATCGGTGCTATTATTTACTTAAGTAAATTTTAAAAATTTTTTACTTAGAAATTGTTTTATATTAGATAAAGATTCTTAAATGTATTCAAATTTTTCGATTATTTCTTTATGATTAAAATAACCTGTTTAAGGTTAATTTAACAGAATTAAAGTACCTTTTGAAAACTTTTTAAAAGTTAAACTTTCTTTGGTTCGTTCATTTTTCTTGAAAACTTTTGAAAAATATAAATTCTACATGTTACAGATTTAAGAAGTTTTTTAAAATAAATTGTTTCTAAGTATATAATTAATAAAAAGATCAATAAAATGTCTAATATTTTAAACGCATAATTTTAAAAAAGGACAAAATTTCTGATATTCAGCAATATAAATTTAAAAAATAAAAATTCTAAAAAATTAATTCTATTTATTTTATTTATAAAAAAGATTATGTGAAGTTTCTTGGATAAATAGATTTTATTAAAATACACAAATTTGAGATAATGTCATTTTTATGCTTTAATATGGGCAAAAGATATAGAGAAGTATAAGTTAGTAAAAAGTGTAGAAACCTTGCGTTATTTTATAATAGTTGTTTTAACATTAACGCGTTTCTTTTAATTATAAGAAATTTAGATAAAGAATGGAATAATTGAAAATCGGCTGATGTTGATGGAAATTATTTTAAATTACTATATTTATAAAGATGACCAATTTTTGCTCTATTTTCCACTATATTCAGGAATGCATCTCATCGAAGAAGAGCATTGCACAGCAATTATCTTGGTTGTTAACGTTTACTTCACTTTTAAAAATTACCTAGCGAATTTTAGTCTGAGCCATCGAATTTAAGCACTGTCAGTTGATACTGTTCTATAATGAGATCGTCCAAAGAAATAAAACAAGAATATTCTGAGACTTTTTCAAAATATTGGAATAGTATCGACTACTGAAGACATTTGTGGTATGTCGATAATGTTGCTCTTTGCTCTTCTCATTATCACTATTCGCCTTTCAAAATTTAATAATAATATTATTTTTATTTTTATCTGTATACGTTGTTCTAAAATTGGTGATATATCAATTTTTGTTCATGACCTCCTTTACTGATGAAGGGTAAAGAGCGCTTAAATAATATTGATAATAATGATAAAAGTATTGATCAATTATAAAAAATTCTTTCAAAATGTTTAATTTTTTTCTACTTTATAGTTACGTTTTCTGTTATACAATCGCTTGGAACGACACTTTATTGAAATAAAAATCAATTTTAATGTATAACATGTTTTTTACATTTGTTATAATTAAATAATTTTATTTTTATATATATCCAGTTAAGGTTTTAATGGAAATCAGGAACATCCGAAAATTGATTTTTTTATTCGCTATTTATCTAAGAAATTCAAGATTTATAACAAAATATAGAATATTAAGTATATTTTAACTAAAAAATCAAATGCAGAAAACTAATATTTATAACTTATACTTATGTATAATTGGACATATTTCTAATATTATTATATTGTGTAGTTTAAAATTTCATCACTTTAATAATTTTGATAGAACTTAATTACATTAGTTTTTGAGTGATAAAAGTTTTTTAAACAGATTTTTAAATATGATTTTAACTTTAAGATATTTTATTTTTATTTGATAATTAATTATTTTATCATTTAAAATATTAATTGTTGTTTTTTTATAGAAAGCAGTCGAGTTATTTAATCGATTAACACATCGTTCAACAATCGATAAATGATATATTAACATAAATACGCTATTTAAAGTTTGAATTGTAAAATATATTTAGTTAAAATTTTATTTACATGGAGAATTCGAAGAATTATTTAATGTAATTTGCGTTTTGTATTTTATTTAGTACATTGCATTTAAAATTTTTGCGTTTTTTTACTTTCAGTTATTTTAAAATAGCGATTGATTCTACCGAATGGTTTAAAGCCTTTCAATGAATAATAATTATAAAAATTGAAGATGTTATTATTATTTACATATTATTTTAATATTTATTTCAATAAAAATTTATTAAAATGAGAAAGTGTGATTGTTTTCTCTTATTTCGAGGAAATTTTCAAAATAAATATATAATAATTAGCGTCTGTTCTGCTATTTTATGAGTGTAAAAATAAAATCACAAAAGTAATAAAGCGTGATCTATCACTTAATAGTCAATTGTATCAGTAGTGTATATTCCTCTTCAAAGAAAACTCGTCACTTTTAGAAGATGTTCTTTGCTAAGAACAGAATGAAGACGAAGAATGAAGAATGTATCTCGAGTGTCGTCAAAGAACATAAATAGAAAAACCGTTAAAAAAAAAATAGTTTATAATTGTCACCCTATTGAACTAATGTAAATGAAACCGTAATTAGTGGAAACACTACGTTGTACTAAATAAAGACGTTCTCCAACCATAGGTGACCTTCCCGTCAAATTCCCCAAGTCCATCACTATTACAACCAGTACCCCTGTTGATAAACCGCAACAATCTGTCAACTGGTGTGGATGGGAGAAATTTTCATGCATGTATTGCTCGCAGTCTTTTTATTGGAAGTGGGCATTGCAGCGTCATCTGCGTGAATCGCACAACGTGGGACCAGCACAGATGGGGGCAGGTAAGTCTTATTGTAAATAATTACAGCTGTAAATACAGTAGTTCTTTGTCTAAACGAAAACTCCATGAAAAAAAAAATAACAACAATAATAATAAAACCAAAATGCTAAAGGTAGGGTGATTTTTCTGTCTATTCTTATTTGGAAAAGCTATCTAAAACTTTTAATAATTTTTCTTAAGTCATCCTTCTTTTGTAATCAAAATGTGTGATTTTTGTTTAATTTAAATCAATTTGTATTCTGTTAATATAGACGAAAAGTTTTCATTGAACATTTTATATATGATGTTCAAAGAAATGTTAATAAATAAAATAGGCTTATTGGAAATACTTCAATTCAGGATAATTTCAGTTGGTGTGAAACGTGTTATTTCCACAGTAGATGTGTTTTTTCTGTGCAGAATTGGAAATAGCAGAAGCATACAGAGTATCTTCTGTGAAGAGAGGTCGTAAACCTGGTAGCCGATTATGCGCCATATGCAAGAAAGTATTTTGCAACAGCTCCGAATTGACAAGTCATATGGCTTCCCATTGTCAAGCAGGAGAAGTTCCACCGCCCTCATCGCCAGTTTCAAAACCATCCGAAGAATTGGATGGCACAGGTAACCTTTCTTTTAAATATAATTAGTAAAAGTAATAATTAGTAAGGACGTTTAAAAAATACTATTCTTACTTGATACAGATTTATTCGCTTCATCTGGAGTTCCCGAAACAAATAATCAGTCTTTGGATTTGAGTGCCATTTCACCACCTCATAATTGTGCCGCTTGTAATGTTGAAATTACTAGCTTGGCAGATTTTCATTCTCATTTAACTTCAAACCCCATGTGTAGAGTGCGACAGTTTGATTGTCATCTTTGTCCTAAATCTTTTATCTGGCCAGTCACTTTAGCCAAACATTTAAAGGAACATACCATCAGCGAACCTTCCACAACTCAAAAAATTTGGTTTTTTTGTGATATATGCAGAAAGGCATTATTAAGTCGCAAAGCAGTATTATTGCATAAGAAGAAATTCCATCCTGAACAATTTACTCATCAATATGAACCAGCTATGATGGCCGAAGAAGATTCATCTGAATTAGGTAAGAATTTCGTTTACTATTTTGTCCAAAGAAATCTTATAGGTCTATTTTTAAATAATGAAATTACAGCAGTTTAATATTTATATATAATAACATTTCAAATTTTTTGTGTTTAAAAATATGAGCTAAACTATTAAAATTCGTATAATTTATAAATTTTAAAATATATTTTCAATTATTTTTTATTTATATAACACCTAGTTAATTAATCAAATGCATTTATTGTAAAATTGAATACAATATCCAATTTATAACACATTCAAAATATCATAAACACATTTTGTATAAACAAACAAGGATTTTAACCTTTTCGCAAAGTAATTGTAAATTATAATTGCTGTGCCAATCTTTAAACACCAGTATTAAGTCTTATTAATAAGTAAAGTCCAAGTAGACAATTAACAATAACATTTCCACAAAGTAATTTGGAAATGTGAAGATTGACCATTTTAATTGAAAGGAACAATTAGAGGAATGTTTTAATATTTATAAATATTACATTTGAAAACCTCATTTCTTATTAAATTAACCTTGGTCACTTTAATGCAATTTAAGAATTTACATGAATTATAGAATTTGATAATAAAAATTCACATTAATACAACATTTCACAGCAGTAATGTTCATAGATATACAATGTTATATATTACTCTTTATATAAATATAAAACTTGGATGGTTGTCTGTTAATTGATGGAACGAATGCAAAATTAAATTTAATAGAATGTATTTGTTTAAATTATGAGAATTTATTAAGAAATTATTGTGTAATGATAAATATCCATAAGTATTATATGTACACATAAACACACACACATAAATATATATATATATATTTATTTATTTTTTATTGTAGTTACTTTTATCTAATAAATATTTTAGTGTTAAATTATTCGCTATAATAATAAAAAATGATCAAAAATCAAAAAGATCAAAATGTTTAAAAAACGTTATCTTCTTTGATTCTAAAATTTCAATACCAAGATGCATTTAAATATTTTCGAAACGTATTATATTAATCGCTTAAGTTTATTTATATTTAGAAATTAGATCTACCTTAAAATGTTATTTATAATTTATAAAAACTTTTTGATATTTAAAAATGGCTTATAGATGAATGCTTTATTATAGAAATGTTTAATATTATTAAAGTTTATATTATTAAATATACTGGAACATTCTATGCACCGTAGATTTATATCAATTTTATTATTTTAATGCTAATGTATATAGATTATATATATCATAATCATTATTATTATTATTATTATTAAAGATCACTTAAATATGTTATACACTCTCCAGGATATGGCACATTGTAAAATTAGATTTAATCATATTTTATGTTTGTCATATAGACAAAGCATTTTATAGCAAATTCCAATAATATTCGTGTTGATGTTATTTTGCGTATTTTATTTTTTCAAAACATCTAAAAATGACGACGTAAAAATGTATATGGACTTAGCTACTAAGAGTCTAGAAAATGAAATGAACATTTTAGAAAATACGAGATTACCTTCTCTTATGCGTACAAGTAATGTACTTTCTATGAATATGAGTCAGAATATTAAATTTGATACCGAAAACAAATTTTAATTGAAAGTTTTTGTTTATTAATTAGTAAATCTTCAAAAACTATTTGAATTCGTAACAATTTTTGCTTTTCTGTCGCTTATTTTTTTATTTTTATTTACGTAACTAAAACTTGTATTTTATTTCTTTATAAATATAGGAATTTCTAAAATAGTAGTAAAAAAATCATAAAAGAATGTTTATATAATTTAAATGAAATATCTGACTGGATTAAACTTTTTGTCTTCCGTTTGATTTGTAATTGTCTTCGAAAATAGTTACATTTTTTAAAGGGAAACTCAATATGCTATTTTAAAATTATGTATAGCATTTAAATATTGATTACCTCTTTTAAAAATCTTTAAATTTATTTTAATTTAGAAATCTTTACTTTTATTTGCTTAGGTTGAAACTCCTCAAATTGATAAGAAAATTATAATCTATTGAAATGTTCAATATAGATTCTATATATATTTGTTTATTGATTAATTAAGTTAAATAGCAGGAAAAGCGTATTTAATAGTTTTGTACGTAAAGAACTTTTTAAAACTAGCAAATTTTTTAATTCTTTACTTAAGCCCAGGAAAATTACTTTTCATGTGAAGTGCACGAACGAAAATAAAACGAAATTTATTATATTATTCTAATTCTTGTAACTTTCATTTTAATTATACTTAGGAGTTCAAATACAATTGAATTGCTACAGATTAGAAGAACATTTTTGAATGTTCTACTGTATCAAGTTTCGATGTTTTTGGGCTGCAATTTTCTAATGGCAGACCTATGGATTTCCACTGTCATCTGCCTGTCCGTCCTTCAGTCCATCCGTTATTTGTTATTCTCGAGAACGGAGTTAGGTAGATGGAAATCGAGAACAGATACGGAAAGCTTATTTTTAAATTAAAATATGATTTAAAATTGTAACCCGGTATTATGACGATATCACAATAAATAACTACTGGTCAGTTACATTTTTCCCTTCATGATTATAATCTACGTAGTTAATCTTTCATGTAGGAGAGAAAATCTTATTGTACAGTACATTGCATTGATTAGCCAAATAGATGTAATTTTATACTAAATAATTTTTTGAAGAACTTTTTTAACTTATAATTTTGTTGTAATAAATTTTAATTAAATACAGTGATACCTCGACTTACGCTACCCCGACTTACGCGAACTCGGAGTTACGCGATTTTCAAATCTCGTCGATTCGTCTTTTGTTTGAGCGCCACGCGACTCTCGATTACTCACTCCCCCCACACTATTGTTCGGCTTACGTGTTCGGACGTGTCGCGCGGAATCAACACATAGCTACAATTTATTTTGTGTTATTTATTTCTGTGTTTGTTATATATACGGATACTTGAGAGACTCTATATGGTGATTTCTTGTAACCATGAACGAATCAAATGACGAGATAAGATTAATGAGAACATTTATTAGCTTACATACATCCGACTTGGATTTTACACAAATTGCGAAATTATACCCCGACTTACGCGAATTCGACTTACGCGGGTATTGCTCGGTCCCACCTATCGCGTAAGTTCGGCGTATTACTGTATTAAATCTTCTTAAATTAGGTTAATTATATATACTTAAATTGGTTAGATGGCCAATACATCCCATTTTTTGAATCGAGTTTTTGTCTGCCTGTATAATAAATAATTTCTCCGCAGTATTCTTTTTAGGGGTTGATTAAAAATTTTATATTTTAATCTATATTTTAGTTAGTATGAAAATGCATAATGTAGGTAATAAAACTGCATTTATGTTAAGAAAATTAACTCATTTAATAATTTTATATTTAAAGTTAAATAATTTTTATGCGTTATAAAGTACACATCATTGGAGTAGGATTATAAATTATAGTCTATCGGACAAGAAAGAACAGTCATAAAATACATCGTCAAGAAAGAATTTCTTCTGTTTTGTTTGATAAGAGATATTGCATGTTGTCAAATCAAAAATTTCGTAAGTGATAAAATATTATTTTATTAAATGAATTGTTTTCCCCTTCCGTATATATCGAGCGAACATCTTAAAACAGATTGTGCTTTTAGCAATTTCTCACTAGAAAAGTGAACAATAAAATGCACATGTTTGGAAAATGTTCGTGCCGCTGATAAATTTTTGAAAGAGATCTAAAACTGTTCTTTTAGTAATGAAATTACATCTTGCACTTTGCAAATTTCATTACATAGCAACTTTACAATGCTCGTCATCTTTATAAGAAAGGATATATAAAATTTTGGTTTTATTTAACTGCCATTTTTTATTGAAATATCAGCAGTTTTATTAAACAGGAGAAAATATTTTCTGGATAAATAATTAGAATATATTTATTGTCATAATAATCTACAAAAAACTTTAGTATAAACTACTGGCATTGCTATTTTGTAAATACAAGATTGTCATGAAAGAAGATAAGTGGACGATATAAATATATTATATAGACTATAAAATAAACTTTAGAAAACATTAAACAGTAAGAATGTACAAATAATAATTAATATACATATAAAAAGGTTAAATTAATCGTTATTGTTACGTTAAAGTAATGACCAAATGAAAATCAGTAATTATACTAAACAACGGCAATAAGTCTTATTCATTGTCAAATTTATGGCTGAATTCAAACGAAAATTTTGATTTTTGCAAAAACCTGACATTAGGTAAAATGATTCGATTGATAAAATTATGAGAAAATAAAACCTAAATTGTTTTAGCAGTTTAATTCATAGATGGATTGACAGACAATTTTTGTGATATTTTCATTCAGGTACTTGAAATCATTTACTTTAATCAGTGGCTATATTATCACTTTTATAATTTTTTTTGTATTTATTAATGTTATTAGGTGAAAAAGGCAAGCCATTATGGAGCCTTGACTTTGAAAAATAATTTCTGAATCACTTTGAATACATAAGAACAAGAAACAAATGTTTTAGGACTTGTTAGAATACGTTTGATAGTTCTGACTATTGTGTGTTTGGAAAAAATCCGTAATAAATCATAAATCCTGAAAAATTTGTGTAACATAATTTACTAATTCAGCATGGACCTTCATAAAAGACTTTATTTTTCTCTATTTTTTAATGTGAAGTGAAAAATCTTTTGAATAGCAAAGCAATTTAAATTATAAATTGAATTATTGTTCATAACAGTAAAATTTTATTTCGGTTTCTGTTGTTATTTAAGTTGTTTTACAGTAACTTTTATGACTATACTCATAAAAGATTCTGTAATATAACAAGAAAAGTCACAGTAAAGAACTTAGAATTGCGTTATATGTATTCCATACGAATAAGCATTTGAATATTGGCATACCCAAAATACTTTAGTTATTTTTGCTTTAATGTCTAGTTGCAAATCATACCTCGTTTTAATTAGAGTAAAATATTTGGAATAGAAGAAGTGGAC